ATTTTTTTTCTACGAGATATGTTTTTTTTTTTTTTTTTTTTTTTTTTTTGCGGGAGGTAGGGGGGGGGCTTGTTCTATTTTGAGTGTGTATGTGTGTGACTTCTTTTCTGGTTAGGTACTAAGTGGCACATGAACACAGTGTAGGAACTGATAGCTTATGCTTTCCTACACAGACTCACCTCACATTCTCTCCTTTTGCAGAACCCTGTTACCTCTTGGCCAGATGACTCAGCTGGTTTTATAGTTAGGTTTATTATACATGTGGAGACAGTGTGGCTGGTTCCCATTGCTTTGGGCCTGTAGCACAAAAGGCATGTGGTTCTTGCCCTTGCATAGTTTAGTGCCAATTTGGGGTGACAGGGTAGAGCTTCATTCCATCAGTAAAAGTACATATGGATAAACAGGATAATTCAATGTGCTTTGGGAAAGACAGGCTACTTTGTTATGTTTTTTTCTTCTTGGTTAAAAAGAATCAGCTTCGTCAGCAAGGAAGCTCTGTGCTACGACCATGAAGAGGGGAAAATGTTGGAGTCTCCCAACTTGAATGTGAGATGGGGAGGCCCCTCATTGCTCCCTGCTCTTATCCCTTGTCCCTAGTCTGTCCTCTATCAGTAAGAGGTGGTGCTGGCCAAATACAGACAGCAAGTGTTTTGTGCAAGCTCATGTTCAATATATCCAGTCTAAAAATAAAGGCACAAAGGGACAAGGGACTTAAAATCTGGCCTGTCCCACCAAATCTGAGAAATTCTCTTCCTCCTTGAATAGCATTTCATCATCCTTTGCTTACCTGAGTCCCCTATATCTAGCTGTCGGAGTTTGTTGTGGTGTTACCAGCAGGCCTGTATCCCTAGTTGTGGCATGAGGGAGGCATGGTGGAGAGGTGAGAATGGCAGAGGAGTATCTGTAGGATGCCACTGTGCTGTGCACTCATCATAATGTCACCTCTGTAACACTGAGCATAACAGTTGAGGAGTTCTGTGACACATTAGCTCATGGCTTGAGGTCATCTGCGTTGAATCTTGCACTTGGGCTACAGTTACTTGTGTGTTTGACCCCGTGAGAGCAGGGGCCTTGTGTTGTCTTCCCCTTGCTCTGTCCAGAAGCCTAGAGCTGCATCCTCCTTTGGAATGCCAGAGGCAGCTGTTCTAGTCTTTGCCCATCACTTCTGTTGGCTGAGTGGTGCGGAGGGACCCTTTTCTGTAATATAGTGCTTTGGCTGGTGTAATTCTGATTTAGAAAAACAGCTTTGCTTGGAGAGAAACATTAATTAGATGCAAAGAGGGAGTTATTTCATCCTTCGAGTGGGGGGTCTGGGGAGTGAAGGAGAGAAAAAAGTACCACAAATAAATTATCTCCTATTTGTGCAATGCTTTATGCTTGTCAGCTGTCTGTTGCCAGAGAACCACAATGCAGCTAAATACTTGTGACACCTTGCCCAATCAAGGTATAGCAAAAGAATGTTATGGGAGCCTCTTTGTGACAACCTGTGCTAGTTTACATTAGCTTAACCAATCGCTTTTTCTTCTGTGCTTGGAGAAATTTGTTAAATTAATTCAGTTGCAATTAGCAGATTTATGGGAAAGTACCCTGTTATCCTTTAATTGGAGAGCATAAAACTACAAACTGAATCCGCTAGTTCTATTTGTGTAATAGGCAATCTATCTACGACAAGATTTGATCGATGGAGTCGTATGATGCCCTTGCCTTGTTTTATATTGGCTGTCAGCGCTTAACTGGGACTGAAGTATCTGGGTAACAAAAATTGATATAATGACTTAATGCGCCTTATTCTCTTTGAGCTACATCAGTTTAGAGCACTTCTGAGAGAAAAATGTCTGGAAAATATCAGGGAGTCATTTATCAACCTGTTTTCATTAGCATACTGCCTAGCTCTGGCAAGGATTTGAATAAAAAAAAGCAGGATGGTACAATTTATTTCAGGCCCCATATTTCTTGGATGAAAGGAGACCTCTAATAAAAGGAAAATACAGAAAGATGCTTTTTCTAGCTGGTTTTTCCTTAAAATCCCTACCCCCAAAGCTTTTTATTTGTTTGAATTTTTGCTATTAATAATATTGTAGGGGAACATATCCCTGGGAAGGTAATTAGAAAAGTAATGCAAAATGCACTGTGGTTGTGATACGTGGAGAAAAAGTATTTAACAGCAAGAAAATTAACCAAAAATACCCAGGCGTGTAGAGTGTGTGTGTATATCTCTCTCTGTTTGCTCAGCTCAGTGTGCATGTTTGCGTGTTTACAAATACACAGTTAAACTGTGAACATGGAGAGAAGTTCTCTGTGTAAGTGGCTGTTTTGTAGCATTAAAGAATTTCAGAAAGTTAAGATACAGCAGTTTTAGCTCTCTGGAGTTGGAGCTGAGGGGAAATAGAAACAGATCAAAATGTTTGTATAGTGGGCAAAATGCATTTGGTATATGAAGTCATTTGTTCTACCCACCGTAGGATGCGAACCACAAGAGGTAATAATAACTGAAAGGCAGTTGTATGGGAGTGAGTCCTTTTTTGCATGAAATTTTTATGCATCAGTCAGCCTGCATACAGTGTGCCTAATGTATAAAATAAATTGGTGCATAAATCAGATTAAGAGCAGCATGTTGCCAGCGTTCGCATTTGCACACAGGAACTCAATATGGATATGGAGGATTTCCCATTTTTAAATCTCTAATAGGGGACAGGGAATCTCAGGTAGACTTTGCACACAAGGACATTTTATTCACTTATCTCTTCCTGTTCCCCATACCAAATAACAACAGTAGCAGTGTCGTGGGTTGGAAGAGCAGCAGTGTGGGAGTTTTCTGGAACGCCAGCTGTATAAGGAGGGTAGTGACACAGTATTTAAGATAATATTGCAACCCTGTCTATAGCTCCTAATTATGTCGAGGAATTGGTGTGCCAATCGATAGTGATTTATGGTGGGGATAAGCAAGTGCACATTGCTCACATTGATCTGCATGTAAATTCCTTGACATAATAAGAAGTTATTACCAATGACAGTCACTGTCTGACTGCTAATTCATCGCGCAGGCTTCCTTCAGTGAGAGCCACACAATCTGCATACTGGTGCCCGCTAGTCCTAGCATTTGCCTCTTGTAAGGTAGGCCTGTATATCCAGTACTTGAGCAGCTATTGAGTAGGTGAGGGTCGAGGTCACACTGGCCATTTCTCTGTCAAATAGCAGTTCCCTGATTAACCAACAAGACAGGGGGTGTGCCTTTTTTTTTTTTTTTTTTTTTTTTTTTTTTTTTTGCTTTTTTAAAAGACAAATATGCTAGAGAGATTTGACTCTGGGGTTTTAACACACATGATTTCTAAACGTTCATTAAAGTGCTTTTCTTAACATCATTTCCCCAAAAGCCTCAGATAGAAAATTATCTATCTGTTGATTAAAATTCAATTGCTTTTATTATATTTTGCCCCTTTCTCTTATTTATGCCTTTTAAAAATTATAGGTCTGTAAACAACAATTTAGATTTTTGTTTTTACTTCTCAAATTTCATGCTTTTGTGTGCTTTAGTTTTTCTGCTATCCCAGAACTTTTTAAAAAGTGGAATCTTTAAGCTTGTATTTCTTGGTTCTTCCTTTCTCTTTTTCCCTCCTGAAAAGGCCTCATAAACTCACCTGTCCTAGCTGTACCTCTCTGCCTCTCCCTCTAGTAGTTTTTGCTAACTGATCTGAAAAATCTTAAGTTACTCACTTTCAGAGTTGGTGGAGGTGTCTCCTCCTTCCTTACCTCATATGGGCAGGATATCTCTGTCCTTGCCTGTAATATTACATTACCTATGACTAACAGTTTGCTGGTTTAAACATTCTCTCCCATTCTTCTATAGCCTGATTATTTTTTTCCCTTAAAAGTCTGCTGCATCAGGAATATGCAGAGATGTTTCTCTTTCTTACTAGAGATGGCTATTGCTTTTTGTACAAAAGTCCTTGAGAAGTTGGTGGAGTAACAAATCTATACCTTGAAAAGTGAGCTCTAGGTATACCTGTTCTTCCTTGAGAAATACAAATAGTTCTAAAAATAAGAGATTGTTATTGGTAGAATAGTAATGATAGAGTGAATAACAATAACAATCATTTTAATTTCAGACTTCCTGTTGGTTGTTTTGGTTAGGTTTGGCTAAGTTATGCTGAAGTAACAGAAAACTCACAAATCTCAAAGAGATAAAACAACACAGATTTCTTATTTATGCTTTATGTACATTGTGGGTTGGCAGAGGGACTCTGATCATTTTAGTCACATGGAGATGAAGATGACCAAACAGTAAACATCTTAGTTATTGCTGGACACTAGGCAAAGGAAGAGAGAGGGTGAATGGTTTTGCATTGATAATTAAATGTGCCATACTCTTGATCAGAACCAATCACATGGCTCCATTCTCTCCTTGGGATTCAAAAATGGGAGTACTGGAAATACTTGGTAATGACAGTTGGTTGTTTATTCACAAAAGATTGTTGTTAAAAAACCCCCCTCTAAACATGCAAATAGGATTACTAGCTTTAACAGTACAGATTGGTGATGACTGAAGGAGCCTAGCTTTCCCCAGGTCATGGCATTGGTCAGGAGTGAAATGGGGATGCAAACTTGCTTTCTTGACTCGAATCTAAAGTGACTTCTTCCTTCTGCCTTTATCTTCTGTAATGTTGGAAATATTTATTGTGCATATTGCTCTTAAATCTGTGTATATATTGGTGATGCAAGTCCTTAACTGCCCCTCTGTTGACCTCATTCCTTCATTGATAAATATTGTTTTGTCCAAATAATCCCAATCCATTTTTCTCCTTGTCTTCCCCTTTCCAGGGCCACCATCAAATATTTTCTGAAGATTTACTTGATTTTTATTTTAATTATGGGTTGAGCATTTCTAACTAAATATCATAAATCCAGAATACCCCAAATCTGAAACGCTTTGAGTGTTGACATGGTACTATAAGAGGAAACTTCCATACCTGACCTCATGCCAGCTGCAGTACAAAATATTATTTAAAATTACCTTTAGGCTGTGTGCTTAAGGTACATATGAAACATTAGTAAATTTTATGTTTAAATTTATGTCTCATGTACAAGATACATCATATGTGCATATACTGTAAAACCTGAAAAAAAAATTAGAACCTCAAACACTTTAGTCCCATGCATTTTGGATAGGGACACTAAACCTGTATCAGAATATGCATGCCTGTGTTGAGTTTTACAAGTATGGCACAAGGTTTATGGGGTGGTAATGAGGCCATGATGGAATGTTGAACAGTGTCACTCCAAGGTGGTGAGACTAGTAAAACTCCACCAAATGAAATGTTTATTGATCTGTTTGTTTATAATGTACATCTATCTTACTTTGAAAAGATGAAGGGAATAGTGATTTGGTTTGGAGACTAATTCAGTGCTTTATATGTTTCAGTAGAGTCAGAAGACAGTTCTGTTGGACATTTCTACTGGTTTACTTTATTATTTATTTATTTTTAGTTTGACTAGAGAGGGAGAGGGAAAGGGGGAGGGGGAGAGGGAGGGGGGGGAGAGAGAGAGAGCGCGCGAGCTCAAGCAAGCAAGAAAGCGAGAAAGCAGGCCACCAGGTGGGATCAGCAGTTAGCGTAATGGCTATGTCGCTGGACTCCCAAGCGGCTTAAACTCATGCTGGGCGTATGTGTGTGCGTGCCCAAGATCCTGAGAGGAGAATGGAGGAGAAGGGATTGTGGTGTGGCCATCCCCCCCGGGGGGGGCTTTTTTGTTTTTTGTCTCTCTCTGTCTGTCTGGCGAGCGTACCCGCCCTGTAGCAAAAATACCTCTCAAAAAAAAAAAAAAAAAAAAAAGCAAGCTGCCAGGTCCAGGACCTAAATCATGGTTGGCCACGTGGGAGTCCAGTGCCCTTACCCA